TGTTGTCCGCCTCCTTCATCGGAGAACATATTACCGTTAACGAACCTTTTACGTTTCCGTTTCACAACTGTCGTCCATTCATTTACCCCCATATTGTCCATGGCATCATGTCCCTCCTTTGTCCGAAGCTGGTTGTCAGATGCATAGAGGTGTCAGGTACATTGTTCAATTTAGGTAAGTTACACTGTTTGTCTAATTGCGGAGATGCAGTTACTTCATGGTTATGTGTGGAGTTAGTTGTTGCCCGGTTTCCAGATATCACTGAGATTTGTTGTGGGCTATTGTGATCCTCGCCTAATTGATCGTCTTCAGTTCGGTTTGTCTCCTGTGGAGCTTCAACATCGCTATAACTCAAGAGAACATTTTCTCTGGATCCGGAGTTTTATTACCGCTCCAATTCTTTTTCTTATGAACATTCACGTCTAGTGTATATTCTACCCTTCCTCTCATTTCTTTGAACTGCTCAAGTTGTGTTTTCAAACTCCCAATCCCAATCTCAATGTTTTTCTCCTCAAGAATCTGTTTCATGGATTTAAGGTCCGAATTCAGTTTTTTCAATACCGTTCAGTCTGTTTATAATACTGCCATTGTTACTTTGCATTATCTGTTTAAGTTCCAATACATTTGTAATCAAAATACGATTGGGGTCATCAACGCCGTGCTGACTTCCATCTCTGATAGTATTTCGTGTGTTATCATTCGGACTTATTGAAGCTCGGTTGTGGTCCTCTATTCTGGGGCCATTTCCGTTTGGATGGTGACTATCTCTAGCGTTTGGACTACTGATACTATAAAACTTATCGATGAATCCAACACATTTTTGACACTAGTAGACCCGCTCCGTAGACCATGTCTACTCATTGCACTTTTTTGTAAGACGGCTTCACTAATGTTTCCTTGTACATATTCATATAAGTGGTGAATGCCACTTGCATATTTTTGATATACAGTCTGGCCAGGATTCTCATATCTGCTCACATGTTTAAAAAGAACACATCTGTGAACGTCTCACCATTAAATTTAGCGAAATCATACAGGCTCTGTCTTATGCTTACCAACGTAGTTTCCTCGTGTTTAAAATGCGTTATTAGTTTGCTTTCAAATGTTGATTTGTCATAACCACCAAATTGATCCTTTATTTCGTCAAATATGCTACTATCAACCCCACTGGGGATCTGGGTACTATAACTAGCATCCACAATCTCATAGGAGTCTCCTATACTGGTAGTAAACACCTTATCGTATGACAGGTAACGCACGAGTGCACAAATGTACTCACTGTAAACGGGATACATACAACAATGGAAAGACCTTCTTTTATTGAATTTTAATATCAGAATGAATGTAATGCTAAGTGTAACTCGCTTAGTCCTTCAATTTCATTTTCAAATATATATACCCGAAGTGTTATCTTTAGATTGTTAGCATGTCGGAGTTAATTCGATATTCAAACACTTGTTTCTAGTATCACGATTTTTGTTCAAGTTGTCGAGATCTGACAAACAAATTCACAACACAGAATTTCGAGAAATGGATGTTTCAGCGGGTGTTATTGTTGCACTATTTAGGCAAAAACAATCATGTAAAAAACGCCACAGCTGCGAAAACTTTTGTTTATCATCTTGTCAAATAATATCTTCCACATATCCCACGGTGATACCTTTCACGACAGGCCTGTATACTGCATAAAGCAATATTCGTTCCTTCTGATAGGTCACATGATCTTAAAATGCGCTACCATAAACATCGCTCAATCATTTTCACCTACGCAACCTTATCAACCAATATCAGAAATAACGCACAGCTCGTTGGGAGCAGTAGTAATTCGCTGTAGATAAATTACTATTCACATAATAATCAGGCAGGTTTCCAGTAAGGGCATATTTTTTATGAGTAAACACAACTTTACATAGCAACCTGGGGATTTTAAAACTGTTCCCCAATATTATTGTTCATTGTTTTGAATGCAGATTACATTCAAGTGTCCAGTTTTGTGGCACATACTCAGGAAAAGGTTTCACGGGGTCATTTTTTCGAGTAGTATTTATGATGCTCCCAAATTAATTATTTGGAACACACATAACAACTGTTATCACTTGCTGAACGTAGAAAAATATCAAAAACATGTCTTGGATACATCTTTCGATACCTATTACAGGATGCATAGAACTAATAATATCTAAAATTACTATGTATTTAATTTGATTCTTTCGACGTTAAATAGGACGTGGTATTGTTGGTTTTTCAACTGACCAGTTTATTTTAACTGTGCACTGATTTAGCCAGAAGAGTATTGTACTATTACAGTCTTGTCTGATGCCATGTTACAAGGGTTGAATGCTAAGTATTGCGTCTGATTCGAATAAAAGACATATCTATGTATTCTCAAGGGAAAATATCGGTGATGGAAACACAGGAAAAAGTCATTAAGGAGTAATCAATGTCGAAGTTTGAGCTGAATTCGTGGAATTATTTCATGTGGGTAAACTCTTTCTTCTTTATTATAATTCGTAGGCTTGTGTTGGATCGAACACGATAATGTTGATGGATTTTCATAGTAATATGTGAAAGGAATTTAACTGGAATTTAGTAAAGGATCATTTTAGTCACTCTTATCTTTAGATTATCAATATATTGAAAGCTTGTTCGACAGATTTGTCTTTATCGCATATGCAAAACTGAACTGTCATGGTGGTATATTTACATTAGGTCATGTGTTACCTGAATTACTAGTCGGTTGAAATGTGATAACATTCTATTGTGTTTAACTGATCAGTGATTAGAAAATACGTTGCAACTGTTAAAATTTGTAATGAGTAAACGTCCAAAAAATGAAGATATGTCTTAACTCATAGTTACATTCTGTATAACTGGATATTATCGCGGTGGAATATATTTTTTTCGCGGTACATTAACGTGATCGCTAAAACTTAATCCGTGAAATAAAAAGACACGTGTAAGTATTAGATGTTCTTTTACATCCAGTTCGCGAAATTTAAATATATCATTCGTTCGATTCAAAACAAAATCTCGAAAATCTAGATTTTCTCTGGTGAACATTACCAGCTATATGGTATTTCACACTCCTTCAAACCTGTCAGAAAGTACACATACACTCAAGTTTGCACGTTATACGTTAGTCAAACCACACATATTAGAATATACAACCATCTAGAGGCGTGCTATAACGTAGACACATATACTTACTTTAAATAAGCACCAATACATCATTCACCTTTTAAATGGATCAGTAACGGAGGTAAAACAGGAGCGCTCCCTAATGATAAAGCTAGATGTTCCAATTGGGATTTGTGACTGTTTCCAGTACACGTGAATGAGTAACACGGATTGCGAAGGAAGGTAGGAGTATTCTATAATTCATTGTTCATTTACAATGGAGTGTATGTCATTTTAAAGAATGACATGTCTGTGCAACTGGCGTCATTGCTAGTAAGTCTATAAACGACAACTATTTTGGATGATAAATGATCGTAATAGTTCCTTCCTTAAAATAATAGTAATAATCAGGAAATGTCCGTTTGTTGAAATAATTGAAATAATTGCAAAATCGACACAAATTGATATTTTCATTTTGTTTTATTTACTTTGATCTGTTTCAATATGTCAAATAACACATCTATAATATTTATTGATTTTCTTTTCTCAAGAAGTTTTCTTGTGAAAATTTATTTACTACTACTTGTCAGTACCGGAGTATGCACACTTTAATCTCTTGAATGTGAATTAAGTGAAAGGATTGGTGTAGCTCGTACGGGATCAAAAAGATATATGAAGTAAAAAAGGAGAAAAGATATTTAACTTAACAAGAATATGTTAAACGATGGATCCGAAAGGAAAAGCAGAGATAGAAGTCTTGGCTTAATTATCACTCTTATCATATCGATGAAATTAATCTCTACCTGTATAGAAGTCTTGGCTTAATTATCACTCTTATCATATCGATGAAATGAAATTAATATCTTATCGCTCTTATCATATCGATGAAATTAATCTCTACCTGTATAGAAGTCTTGGCTTAATTATCACTCTTATCATATTGATGAAATTAATATCTACCTGTATAGAAGTCTTGGCTTAATTATCACTCTTATCATATTGATGAAATTAATCTCTACTTGTATATACTAAGCTGCATGTGTTTGAAGCTGGTTACTTTGCCTGATGGTTCCGTTGTTGTATACCTTGTTCTCATTTGAGAATGTGACATTACCTACATGGATTGACCAAGATGTCATCTTCCAGAACACCTTATCTTATTCTACTTGAACTTTTTCAGGAATCTCTCTGGAAATTTTTCTTTTGTTCATATTTTGCCTTTTTTTCTTGAATTTGCCTTTGGATTATGATAATGTTCACTTGTTTGTATTCTGTTGTTATTTTTTTGAGAAGCAAAATCACATAGTAGCAAGTTGTTATTATATTAACTGGCATTCTTATTTACACGCTTTTTCCGAATTTCAACTTCCTTTACTGTTTAACATAAACTAAACTGCTGACATAAATTTATAAATAAATCATTTAATACAAAATTGATTGACTTAAAAATAAACGAACTCCGTCAAAGTTGCACTTCGTATAAACAACACACGGAGAGAGTATTAAGCAAATTTCATGATTTTGGCATAGTACCAAGTAGGTCTGACTTGCGGTTTTTGTAAATGTCACCCACTAAATGACCTAAAGTGTCAGTGACTTTTTAAATTGTTTGCAGTTGATTAGTTAAGGATTGCACAAAAATAGATAAATGAATCGAAGTTACACACGTTTTGTCCTAGAAAGACTATTCAGCGATGCACAAAACAAAAAGATTTGAAACCTGAAAATAAAGGAAGAAAAAGAAATCTGAAATTGTATAAGGGGATGGAGGAACACGTATCCACTCCTTCAAAATATGCTAAAGCAGTACTTGTTAAATTTTGTATGCTTAATTAAAATCAATAATGTTGAAGTATAGAAGATGTTTCTGATATAGACTCAATATGTGGATACGATGCCTCCTGGGACTGTTGATTTTGAACAGTGTTGGTAAAGTCCAGGGTCAAGTACCAGCCGCTGGAACTCCTGCTGGCACATCACAGTTAACTGGGATTCCAAATATCATAAATCAACAACTAGTGTCTCCCTGTAAGTAAATAACCAGTCGACATTCAATATTTCCTATAGAAATGTTTACAAAAGATTAAAAATAACGAGAGACCATGGATAGTCGATATTTCATCCAAGATATTATATAGAAAAAAAATCTAAATTAAAATTACCTGGTCATGAGATGCAAAATTGATCAATCCAGAAACACAATTTTTATAACTCATATCCAAACCCGTCGAAACGACAAAAACACATACCAGTAAGCACGGACAGGTACATCTTCACCTGAGGTTACAATGCTCTAATCGATGGAGATATAACCGTAATTTATTACATTATTACAGAAAAGGAGAGCAGAATTATCCTCAACAATAGGATAGAATAAAACATTTGTCAAAATGTAGTTAAAGATAAATGTTTCATTTGAACACACCTTTGACATCATTAACAAGAAAAAAAGTCAATTAACGTGTCAAATTAAGCCCAACCAAGCATCTATTAACATGTTCTAGTTTCAGTCTTTTCACATGGACTCAGATAACGTGTACTAAGAACAATGCAAAAATGGCAAAAAGGCAATATTTGATGTTATAAGATACTCTGTCTTCATTACAATATCATTCATGCGGAGTAGTTGAATCTGGGGCACGTAAATGTTCATATTCCTTGGATTCAACTCTTTAGGGTCCTGGCATCATTGATTATACATAGCAAGACGAAGAAGGTGTATGCTGTAGCTAAATTCATTCTTTGGCTCTGCTGTATCAGATTCTTTCAAAGATGCTTTATACTGGAGTGTCTTTTACATAATCCTTTGATATAGCATCATGGACTGAAGAAAATTCCCACAGAATCGATCATTTCATTCTTAAGGCGTTGCCGTGCAAAGAAGTCGTATATAAACTTTCTATCATTAACCGTTGTATTTGGTGCTATTTTTTTCTGATAGGTACATCACTTGATCAAGGTTTTACATAAAAAAAAGTTTATATAAAGATTGCCCAGTTCGCCTTATTTCACAATTTTAGCAATATCAGTGAAAAGCACGCTTTCATAATTCTGCGCAAAGAAATCCTAAAAGTAGAATATATTTATTTTTCCGCCTTCACAATAAAAAATAAATCTGATGAAAATCAATTTCCATTGATTTTGTTATTACATTTAATTTCAGTAAAATTCTATGAATACATAAAAATATTCAAGTCCAACCATGATATAGATATTGATATACAGGATCGTAATAAAAAGTGACTTCTATTTACAGCATTTCTCAAGGTTCTTTTTGCCTACGTTGTCGGATACACAACAAACAAAGTTATAATAAATACAGATGGGGAAGTTATAAGTAAGTATATAAGTATATGACAAGGCAAACAAAAGAATATTTGTAATCTGGAAAACATACTTTGTTCTGATAAATTATCTGGTTTACAACAAATTTTCACAGGACATTTTCTTGAGCTCCTGTCCTGCTGCGGTCTTCCTTAGGAAAGGAATGATACAATTGTGCATGTCTGTTTGAAAGTTTCAGTTTTCTTCAGTAGTACACGTTTCATTCTTTAAAAACTGTTTGGAGATCATTTTTATGCATACGCAATTTCATCCAACCTAACCAACGCTTTACTCACTACCAAAACGAGTATTTGGTATGATACTAATGAAATGAAAATGAAAATTGGAATTTGTACAGTGCGAGTATAACAAATATTTTAGAGCAGAAAATTAATCTAATCACCAGCAATTATTCTATCACCAAATTATTATTGCATATATAACGTTATGTTGTGTTTGTTATATAGATAGATGTCCCGAAGGATGGCTGAAACGGAACAAACGGTGTTATTTCTTCAGTGAGACGAAGGCGAGTTGGTACGGAGCCGAGGTAAGTACCAGTTGTAAAATGTATTAATTGATCAAACTTTGTAAATTAATATGTTTTCCATAAAAAGTGTTTTAGATATCACACTGTGGACAATGGATTTGTAAAATTTCCCTGGTAATAGCCTTAATTTAAACACACGAAGTTTTACCAGTGCTGTAATATTGAAACAGGGAGACATGCATTTTTATTTGTATACAGCATATTAAAAATTTTTTTAAAAAATCCATATTTGCTTTGATAAGCAAGTTTCCCAGTGAGTTTCAAATGTTTATAGATCAACTTTGAAAGAATCATTAAAATCGACGAGACTGCATGAACATGTAAATTTGTAAGTTTATATGGAACTTGATACGTACCTTGTTTTGAATCAGCATTACTGTTACAACAGGCACAATGCAGAATAATGGGAGGCTACCTTTCCATACCTGACACTGAGGAGGAGAATAATTTTCTAAAGGAACGATCACTCTCCGAGAGGACAAGAATCCAAGGAGGATTGCAGCATATATCAGGTATGTTTCAAATAATGATTCGAGACATGGTTTTACATGCACACGTACGCACGCACCCACCAACCTGCCGTTGTCTATGTAATGCTTTAGGTTTATTATGCATTTTTTATGTTTTATATTGTTTTTGTTATTTGTTAATAGATTTTTCAAGATGGATTGGACTTCGTTCACTGGATGGTGCTACTGTCACAAAGATCATCACTAACGATACTCCGACTTTCACAAACTTTCGCCCTACGGAACCTAACAATTTAGTAAATAATATGTGTATCAAGTTGGATGATGATTTTAACTTTACTTGGGCGGCACAGCAATGCTTTCGAACGTTGTTCTACATATGTGAGCGGCAATTGGTAAGTCATAAACTAAAGAAAAGTGTTTCCTAATATAACTTTTTTCAAGGAAAGAGTCATGAATTTGCACATCATTTAATGTGTGTCATTATATAGCGTGCGAAAGCTATAATTACAAACACCTCTATCGCGATTTTTAAAAAATTAACACGAAAACAAAGTGTGAGAAAGTGGTGGTTTATTCTTGTCTATTTTAATACAATACCTCTGTACATCAACAAAATGTGATGATAATGTTACAAAAGCTGTCTTATTTACATCATTGATATCAAATTAAAATAAAAATTATCAACAAGATAAGTTAGGCAATAAACTTCTGATTATCATTATATCATATAAAGCATTATTGATATCGATATGTCAATTAATGATGAATGCAGAAATCATGGAGCTTAAAGTAATTTTCAAATATCTTCTCAACAACAAACTTCAAATAAGTAAGTTTAAAATGGAGCAGCATGCTAAAAATAAACCCTTACTTTTCGATCAGTTGAAAAAGTCTGAGATTTACTTTCTTTCTCGTTTTACAGCATACTCCGTTCTCGTATAACATCTAAGAAGACATTTTACGGGTTCCAGCAAAGTTTTTTTCTTAAAGATGGTTTAATTTTTTTAATATTGCCTCTGAATAAAACAGCATGGTTTACTCCTAATTGTGCTGGAACAGACCTAATTTTTGTTATTATGCAATGTGACCACCGACTTAAACCCTTTTGACAAGGAAAATCAGCAAGTTTCTATAGACGTGCGCCAATCTCTTCTATAGTTATCGTTCCTTACAGTTACAATACGGTGTATGCAACACGCTCTATGAGAAACTTGACACACATGGACGAATAGATGTTGAACCGTTGCTTGTTAAATTTGCACTTACTCTGATGATATTTTTTTCATGAATATTTACAGGTGATAAGAAAATTATACCTAATGTTCCCTCTTTTCTTCCGTAACTATCCGATCCTTATTCGATAATATATATCAGGGAATTGTGACAGTAAGATTCTCTTCTATCAAAGTAATTACGATGTCACACACAAATATAAAGAATTGCTATTTGTATACAGAATATAAAAATATCGATTTCTTCATTCGTCTAAGCAAAATATGAAACCAAAATCCATAAAAACTTATTTCTTCTTCTCTGCATCTGTTAAATACGGTAAGACATTATCGTGGGGTTATAGTTAGTTATTTGATTGATTCCTTATCTATGAAAATCAATGGATAAGCATGTATATGTCCTTAAAAGGATAAAAAGGAGTTACAATGAAATCAAAGTTGGCCTTTACGCTACTGTGTGGTTCCTTTTTTCTTTACCAAAGAGATCTAAGGTAAGCATGAACCGCCTTATAGTCTTTGATGGGTCAATTCTAATGATCCCTAACGTAGCCGAACCGAACCTTCAATTTTACTGTAAAAATGGTATGAAGTATGATTAAATGGTATTCTGAAAACGAATATCTTCGGGTTCGAAAATAGGGTATGGTAGGTAGGTTTAAGTCTTGATCGATGGTATTAATAGGTATCCAGTATCCAGGCGAGAGGGACTGGTAACATATGATTGATGCTTATCTGGCTAGTATGGGACCACTAGATCTCCAGGCGATTATCGAAATAATGTTGACCTACGGCATAATTAATGTGAAAGAAACCACACAAACAATGTCACTGTTCGTGTGCTATATCTTGTAGGTATTAATCGCTGATTATACGATCTCATTGGCCCTTCAACTTGATTACAAATATAACGCCTTGAAATACAGTGTTTGTTATGTTATATTCTTATATCTTCTGATTTGTGATACACATTCTGGAGATTAAAAACTGGTATCCGTGAATGTATAAGCCACGATCTGAGAGGTGGACAGCTGATGCGCCTAATGCACTTCCATATAAACAGTTTGCAACTCTGTTGCTATTTAGTAAATATATTGTATAATCTATTATATCAGTCAGTGTGCCTGTCTTTGTATACAGAATGTGTAAAATCTTGGGAAACAAAAAACTGATTTCTACATTAGTTTAAGCAAAATATGAAACCAAAAATCCATAAAACCTTATTTCTTCTTCTCTGCATCTGTTAAATACGGTAAGACATTATCGTGGGGTTATAGTTAGTTATTTGATTGGTTCCTTATATATGAAAATCATTTGATAAGCATGTATATGTTCATGAAAGGATAAAAAGGAGTTACAATGAAATCAAAGTTGGCCTTTACGCTACTGTGTGGTTCCTTTTTTCTTTACCAAAGAGATCTAAGGTAAGCATGAACCGCCTTATAGTCTTTGATGGGTCAATTCTAATGATCCCTAACGTAGCCGAACCGAACCTTCAATTTTACTGTAAAAATGATATGAAGTATGATTAAATGGTATTCTGAAAACGAATATCTTCGGGTTCGAAAATAGGGTATGGTAGGTAGGTTTAAGTCTTGATCGATGGTATTAATAGGTATCCAGTATCCAGGCGAGAGGGACTGGTAACATATGATTGATGCTTATCTGGCTAGTATGGGACCACTAGATCTCCAGGCGATTATCGAAATAATGTTGACCTACGGCATAATTAATGTGAAAGAAACCACACAAACACTGTCACTGTGTGAGTGCTATATCTTGTAGGTATTAATCGCTGAATATACGATCTCAACTTGATTAACCTTACAGGTAACTATAATATTCACAGGCCGTGTATAGCAGTGTTATACGTAGACAGAACCCAGAGACATTGGACAATGTGCTTCATGCGACATTCTCAGAACAGCAGGTTTAGAGAGACGCTTGGGGTAGTGCGACCTGAACAAAGGGAGTAACTCCCAAGACTTTAACACTGACTAAGCATAACCACATATTAATTTACAAAGAAATCCTATACTATACAATCATGTGTATATGAACCGATCAATGAACTCACTGAATACAGATACTTGAGTCATTTATCTTGTGTAGTTTTTCATTAGCACCGTCACTATAAATGTGTTAGATTTAATTGTCACCAGAAAATTAGAAATATTGTAGAAATTAATTTTCCGAATAAATTAATGAACCATAACATTACAAATAATAAATATGTATATTTGACCTCCTCCACTGGAACTTTGGAAGTGTGAACGTTTTTATGATTTATTTCATTGGTATGATAGAATTTATGAAATTTCGCAGAAGTGAACTGCGATCCCTTGTCAGAACGCAGCGTCTGGGGTAGTAAACATGACCCAACAGCGGAAGTAGAAGTTTCATATTTGAACTTAAAAGCATCATTACACTTAGAATAGTTGTCAATAACCAGTAGATACTTCCTAGAATCTTATGAGAAATGTCATAACCTACATAACTATATGTAAGATCCGGCGAAGGATTAAGTCATATGGCCTCTGTATTTTGTTGTTTCTGATGCTCAACACACAACGAACACTATTACACTTAGAGATTCCAAGGTGTGATTTGTGAAAGAAATATAACATTTCTTTCCTCTTGCTGGTCGGATTGGCAATTAGGCTGCATTGTTATATACAGCACTATCTAGTACCGACAGTTGATCTCTGGAATCCTACAAGGGTTTTGCTTCGAAGTAAACCTTAATTTTAGAGTCTGGCCAACCTATGTGTATGATGTCCATCACTAAGGAATGACTTTTCCTCAATCTGCCTTCCGTTATACAACAGGTTTATCACACCATTTCAACCTTATCATCATAATATTTGTTTCTTTGTATTCTCATCTGAGCTGGTAAGACTACCAATAGTTGATCCCGCGGTCAGGATCAAAGTTTGACGACAATCGGGTAGCTATGTGTCGTTCCTGGTAACGCCGACAAAACCACACCCGTTGGATTTTTTTTTATTATTATTATTTGCAACCGGTTGATAACATTTGCGCTATATTTGTGCAAATAATGTTGAAAGCGATCAACAATTATCACAAATATTGATTCGTGAACATGTATCTAAATAAGTGTTCCTGTGTAGGAGCTGATTCGCTCTTGATGAAAATACGTTCAATTCCATGTCAGAGGTACGCGATGGTGCCCATCGGTACGGTAATAATATCGATACTAGTGTTCGAGGAAACGTGTTGTATTATTGCCGATTACCCCAATATCGACGAAATGTTCAAATGTTATATGATGTTTGTCATTAGTTTACAACTGAAAGCAATTGAAGCACTGTATGTGTCTTTGTCATGTAGAAAGCAAGCAGGCAAACTTAAAAGTTCAAAAGACCTCAAAATTTCTGTGATGGAACATGAGTGCATTGTAAACCTAAAATGTTTTTTAGGACAGATACTATTTTGAAAGCCAAACCTGTGTGAAAAAGCCACTCTCTGTTCTAAGGGAGGTGACTCTTACAGGCAAGTGATATTTATCTGGAGGTTCAATTATGTGACTTTTATAAACAAGATTTTGTTATACACTGTATTCACTGATAGGTGGTCATTAAAGCAGGTTTAAATTTTATTGCATCCATCTATGGTGATATGTATTACCATACATCATACATCTTTGTACGATCCAAACTCACCAGTTTTACCCTTTCGCTGGTATCAAATATTCAATGCAGAATAATTGACACATATTTCATTGACAAACATCAAAGAATAATATTGTCCTTGTTGCACACTTGTTGTCATATAATTTTCCATTCGATTGGGGAGCGCAATTTGCTGAAGTTCCTAAAAATTGGTATGGTGGAACCAAGTATAATTCTATGTCTTGCTGCTGCGTACTTAATTTCGATGAAACAAAATTACAACATAAGCGCATCCCATCGCCTCATCACCACAATTACCATCAAAGGTGGTAGGAATGAAAGGGAAACTGAGAAAGAATACAAAATTACAGGTAACTGGTATAGATGAGCAAGTTTTATACAAAAATGTTCAAGACCTTTTTAAAAAGTTAATGTTATCATATTTGTGTTCAATGAGAGACTCATCTTAGGTAATTATGTTATAACATTAGGTGCATGTATCTTGATAGTTACTTGAAGTGAGAGAGTATCGTAATATATTTGACCCCTGCTTCCTTGAAAGGGGGCATTAATTAACTGTGTAACTCTTCATCCCAGCATACAAAAGAGCGAATATCAGCACCATGGAGATTTTGGTAATGAGAACGAGTCAAAAATGTAAATTGTGTACGATGGAGGACACAGGACGAGTAATGATTGACGAATTGCATTTCATTTTAGATGACCTATAAAAAGTTTGAAAATGAACAAAACAGTTCAGCAGATTTGCTTTGCAAACTTCTGACATGAAGCTAAGGAAATATTTTGTCATAACGATATGTATAGCATACATACATTATGCCTTGTGAGGTCATCAATGACAGTTTTTATTAAAGCTGAATTAGCATGGCTTCAAAATTATTAATTTTGCTATTCATTTTAGGTGACAACTTGTATGTTTATGTGAAGACATCACAAATAAGTACAGAAAAGCAAAACCGAGATCTTCACGTCATCACACCTTACATCTTCTTAAGTACCATTGCTAGGATGGACGTGGATAATCAAATGTCACCAGCATTACTGCTGAGTATATCCTTCTGTCAGATGACCAGAACAATTAGCTGCTTGAAGCTTATGGGATGCTCATTGGAAGGATAATGCCACGGCTCCTTGCATTTTTCTAAAGTCACATGTACCATCGCACATGCTAAAAGATGGCTGAAAAGTGTTGCCATTGCCTATTACGTTTAAAAATGAGGCAAAGCATGAGAACTGCCTGTCAATAATGGATAACTACGAGACTAAAATGGTGAAGTTATATACAACTGTACTTGGTGAGTTTAGAGTGAATTTTAAACTAGAGACATGGAAAACATGTGACTCTTTAATCTTGACTGATGAAGAGAATGGATGGACGGAAATGACTAAATATTCTTTACAAGCTATTCCCCTCCCCACTTATAGATTAGCTGTGGCACAAAAAAGATTTTAGTAGTTTGGTCATTCATTGAAATCTTATTATGATATAGTAGGTGAAGTAATGATTCACATATCATTTGTTCATTTATGACGGTAAACTTATGTTCACATACAAAATCACAATGACAAAACAATATGCACTTACAGTGAGTACCAGTTCAATAAAGGTTTCGGTATATAGTTCCTGTCTTATGCATTGTGTACAGAAATGAATACGACAGTCAAGTTAATGGTTATGTTAAACTATACAGTTGCCTATTTTAAAAAACCATTACATATCTAATTTGATCATTCTTCCAGTTTTGGATGATGAAGTATTATGTCACTGATTATATTTAAATGATATTGGTGCATTTCAGTTATTCATAATATCATTATTCAAAAACTTAACTTACAGGTGATACAAACATACTTAGGAAATTGAAAGTTTCAGTAGCAGGAAGAGACCAGCTTACTCGAGTAAGCCTCCAAAAATAAAAACAATTTGCGAACACTGTCAAGTTCTCCTGAGAGGATATTTGATGACCTCCATCAAGTTGTCTGTGAAATGTGGTACAGCAAACAAGATGTATTAGAGGTAAAAGAGACTTCTACACAGATTTAAGAAAAATACAGGAAGTGGCTTATGTAAGTTTTCCATGGTGCGTGACATCATATGGAGAAAAAAAAAATCCTAAGAGTTTCCTGCTTAATTCATCAGTTTGTCAGCTCTTCCTTAAGGGATCATATTTACACATGTTAATAAAGGTGAGATAAATTTTTCAACTGACCATGCCTCCAGACACGATATAATTGTTTTTTTTTTAAACTTTCAGACACGTGTAAGTTATGCAAACATATAAATCAAAATTATTCTAATACATTTATGTATTTGCATTTCGCAATGTTTTTGATAATCATTGTTTATTTACAGAAATGCTACAAGGTTTTGTTCAAGTCTGAAAACACTCCCTGTACTTTACCCTACTATAAGACATTATTACATCGCTCTGACATCACTGGGAAAGTGAAGGGAGTCCCATCCCAGCCTTCTCATTTCAGCTGCTGAAGGTCTGATGACAGAGCAGTTTTTTTGTTTTTCAAGGTGAGATATGGAGAAAGTGATCCTCAACATCGTCTTTTTGATAATTTTGAAAAAGAACACTTCTAGAAAAAAAAACCAATACCAAGAAAATCTTGAGGAATTTCCTATGCTTTTATGACTATAAGAGTGTTTGGACAAGAAATAATACATCTACAGTGAAGGTGCACAAGGTATCTATTGTAACACCTGATGGAAAATTCATGGCACATGAGGATGCTGAAGAAAATGAGTTGCATGGATCTATGTCATAGGGCTTTGCATGTTATGAAACTGCATGACACTGCTAAAGAAGGCGATATCACGATTAACTGCAAAACATATCTGCCTATCGTTTACTCACGCTCCCTGTTTAGTAAATTTATGGTGGAAAATATTGACCATGTGCTCATAAGCGAACATCTTCTCTCACCTTTTCAGCGCTTTATGGTCCAAAAAGGTTCCTTTGTAAATATATATGGAATGGTTGGACAAAATGTAGAGAGTGATCTAGTACAAGAACATTCTGTATGCAACCAGAAAAGTTTATTAAGAACACTTGGAGCCAACAAAAACGAGACGGCTTTATCTTGTTTTACCGGAGCTGCATATATGATAACAGATCTGTACCAGCAGCTTGATACCAGTGTTGGTTTGTCACCAAAATCAAGAATTAAATATTTACCTCTTCCCTTAAAGCAAGTGCCACTAATGGAGGCCAAGGTTAACATAACTGTCAAAGGACTGATAAAAGGTTAAACATTTTCTATGGATGATCATGAA